GATTTCTTTTCATTTCTTCTTTGTCCCTTCTCACAAGATTCTTCAAAGCTTTAACAAGCCTCTTCTGTAAATCCAATATAAAAAAATATCCACATCACTCTCTTGGTCTATTATTTGTATTTCCCTTTTGATTTTTAAAGCTTCAAACGATTTCTTTCATATGTCCAGTGAGACATCCTTTTCCATGTCATTCTTGTAGCCTGTCATTTGTAGATCCACTTTCGATGCCATCTCTGTCTTGTTAAATACAAATTGTTCCTCATTTGCCATTTCTCCCATAACATCTTTTGGATACAGTCTATCCACAGAAGCAAACATCACTATTGACATTATTGTTGCTAACTTCTGATTCCATTTTTCAATCAATCAATGGAAAGTACTTCAGTATTTTCAATGTTACAATGTTTTGTGTCATTTTATAAGTCCCAGTTAATTAGCTGTTAATCAGGCTTGTGTATTTTTCTCCCTTAACTAAAATCTTTAGTTTCCTCCAGTGTCCAATTTTTAAAATTACTTATCTTTATTTTGCCTTGCAAAAGTCCAAACAAATCTATTTCCCACAGGAAGGATTCTTTAATAATTAATTCCAAAATCTCATTCCAAATTTATCTGGACCCTTAATCCATTAGTAACTTTCTAGGATTAAAGTCTTATTTAGCTTTTTACTGTTTATTTCAAATTTTTAAAATTCTTAAGCTTATGATTAACATTTTCTTTCATTAAGGATTGAAGGAAACCTCACCTGGTGTTTTCAGGCTTGTCTATCCAAAGGTCTCTAATAGCTTAAAAGTAGTTAACAATCAGTTTCTGAATGTGATTAGAAAAAGAAATTTGCAAACTTAGTATCCTTTAAAAGGCACTGACCATGGTTGCAAGCAAGATGGGTATTCCAATGCTCAAAACCCACCAGGGACTGTTGTCTTGCAGTCTCCTTGCGAGGACCAACTGTTCGGAGCACATGTGGGCAATCTCCTGTCCTCTCCTTGTTCAGGGAGGTTCCGAAGAGCTAGTCTACTCACCAGCTCTTCATTCTTTGCTGCAGTCATTGGCTCTGCTTTTTGCAGAGCTGTCTTCAGTCCGCCATTTCTTCCTCTGGAAGTCCATAACTACTTACTTTCTGAAATGATATAATCTGTGTATAACATCACTGTGTTTTCTGAGTAGCCTCCCTTACCTTCTATCATAGGCCCTCAGAACTAAGTTTCTGTTTCTTATATTAATGCTCAGCCAGTTTCTGTTTGTAAGTGGTGTGTGACATCTCTCTTTTCATATTAGGGTTCTCAAAAACCCATGAATGCTAAACAAACAGCAAACAGTGAATTTGCTGCATTCATTTCCACAGCTTATTTCAAAATAAGAATGAATTTCAGAAACTAAAGCCATCTTGTACACATACTGTCTGGCACTTCATTGTTGACCTCTTGTCTCTGATTCCCTTTCAGACAATGCAAGCGGCAAGATGTCCCACAGATGAACTCTCCTTAACCAACTGTGCTGTGGTCAATGAAAAAGACTTTCAGTCCGGCTTGTAAGTTTGGTTGGTCTCTTTCTAAAGAGGATTGGAGAAAGAGACTTTCTTTAGTCTGTTGTTGTCCAAAGTTGTACATAGCCAACCTTGCAAATTATAAGACCATTATTAGCAATGTGAGCAATGTGCTGAACTCAGGTTCGGATTCAGGAAGAGCCAGTCTTCCCCTGGCATCACCTCAAAGGGAGGCAGTGAGGCTATGAAAGAGGAAGGAGAAAGGTTATGGGAATACATATCAGGCATGAAACTGCAGAGTCTTTGCTGCTCTAACAAGGATTTTGGCACACCTTGCCTGCCTGTGTAGCAAAGATTTTGAATTGGTATGTATCTGGTCGTGAAACCTCTTACTTCATGTAAGGTGCTAGTATCAGCCACAATAAACAGCTGTGTGCCTGAATGAAAGGAGAATGAGCTTTGGAAGATCAGTTTCCTGGGGTGCATTACAAATTCACATATTTCATCCCTTCCAGCTGTCACTCCCATACTCTCATACAAGGGATGATACAGTTAGACATCAGTGGGATGAGAATGACTGTAAAACTGGCCCTCCTCTTCAAAGTGGTCTGTGGTTTGTGAGCTGTTTGATAGAGACTTAGAACACCAGTATATATTTTGTTAATAAACATCAGCTCTGTTAAATATATTTGGTGTCCCAAAGGTTTTATTTTTCTTTGAATTGTGTTTTATTTGGGATTAGACATTTTTTTTGTGGGGAGGGAGAAACAGATGAGGCATTATCCCTGATATTTGGGTTATAGAGAGCTATTTGTTGGTTGTACAAACTAAGACTGAAAATAAGTTAAATCCAGATTAAGTTAGCTACATTTTGAAATTAGTGGGAAAAAATAATATTGATTAATTTTTCATCCCTTCCAGGTTACTATCAAAGAAGGGGTGAAAGCCAGTTTGGTCTAGGAGTTTAGGGGTTGGTCTAGGAGTGGGGAAACCTGAGTTCTAGTCCTGTCTTAGACATGAAAGCCATCTGGGTAACCTTGGGCCAGCCACTCATTCTCAGCCCTAGGAAGAAGGAAATGGCAAACAACTTCCAAAAACTGCAAGGTCTTGTCTGTGTAGTTTGCTAGGAGTCAAGCCTGATTTGAAGACGACAACAGCAACAACAACAAAATCCCAGTGGTTTCATTTGTTTAGTTTGGCTCAAACCTAAGCTATATAGAGTTATATAATTCTTTGCTACATATGTATGTGCATACATTTCTTAAATATTAAGTAAACTAAGGTGTATGATCTCTTTTACCTGCAAATTGCCATCTGGAAGCTACATTATCACATGTAGGAAAGATTGTGGGAGGAATCAGTTTCTGGAAAATCACTTTGAATTTAAAAAAAGGATAGGGAGGAATGGGTTAAGCAGCTTCTTTTGGCATTTTGTTATGATCGGATGGATCTTTCCTATCCAGTATGATAGGAATGATTTAGTTAAAAAAAAAAAAAACCAAGAAAATTAAGTATGCAAAGAACAATTTTGAATGTTAGACTTTAGTTATCATCTCATAGAATAGTAATTGCTTAGGATGACTCAGATTTTGAAAGGTTTTAATTAGTTTTCTTTATTTCTCGTCCTGCTCCCCTTCTACCAAACTCTTTATAGGCATGTAGTTGTGAAGACCTCACCTAACCACAAATACGTTTTTACACTGAGAAGTCATGCCTCCGTTGTCCCAGGTAGCATCGCTTTCAGTTTGCCACAGGTACGGCTTTGATTTTTTTATTTCCTTTTTGGTCCCAAATGCAAGCAATATTGCTACTGAAAGTTTTATTTCAGCAAAAACTGAAAATGCAGTGGCTCAAGATAAAAGTATGCTTCCTAGAGATGCTATTGGTACTAGAGAGAGATGTTCTGGATGAACTTTTTGATCAGTTCTAGTAAGGCACTTTTTATCAATAAAATATTAGGAAAATGGGTTGCTTGTGGGCAGAGAACTATGAAGGATTCCTGCTGTTGTGTGAGATATAATGTAGGCAGTTGGGCAACTGCACTGATGATCTCTGTGGCAGAGATGTAGCTAGGATGAGAAAGCATTGCTGTTGCCAAATAAGCACTTTTATGCTGTGTGTAGAGCTCCAGTATTGAAAAGAAGAAATATAATATTTTCTTTATGATCCAAGAATGTCAACTCCCTGCACTGATATCTTTCAAAAGTAGCTTCAGCATTAGCTATTTAGCAACAAATCTTCACAAAGTGTGACTAATCCTTGTGGCTTCCCTGATCCCCCTGTGGTGTTAGCTAACAGTTTGGACTTGTGAATGAAGCACAGCATAGCCTTGAGTGTGTGTGAGTGAATAAGAGTTCTTTCATTCTAATGAAATAGCAAAGAAGAAATAGCCCGCTGAGCTGCAAAATAAGATTTTACTTCCTTTCTTTTGTTTAACAGAGTTTTGAGAATAGTGGTTTTGAGGGTTTTTTTGAGATACCTGATTGCAATATTTATTGCAGTATTGGTCTCTTTTTTGTTGTTAAAAAAAGGTTATTAAGTATATAGTAACTTTACATTATTTAAGCAAATGATAAAAAATAAAGAATATAGATACAAAAGAGTGAAATACTAAAAACAAAGTAATAAAAAAAAGGCATAAGGGGGAACTTTTGATAGCACATTTTCTCCTTCCCGTACATTGCTTCCAACCACTAACCTCTACTTAAGTATTTGTACTTTTCTTTGAACATTAGAGATTATTGCTTTTGTCTTGTTTCATCTATTGTTTTTTATTAGTCCCTTAATCCTTTTTCTTAGAAACCATATTCCAAATGTCTTAACTTGCCTTGCTATGTGATGTACTGTATGTAGGGGAGTTGCACTATTGATCTCACTTGGAAGCCTTGTTAAAATATTTGTGAGCTATCAGGTACCCTCCAAATGTGTTGGGACTGCAATTCCCAGAATTCCCATTCAGCATAGCTAACATACAACACTGGAGGGTACCAGTTTGAGGAAGGCTGCCCTAGATCAGGGGTGGGTAATGTGTGGTCCTCAGTTTTTCAGTAATAACCCCTGGCCAGCGCATGGTTACTAGAAAGAGAAGCACAAAATTATTGGCTCTCCATTTTTGAAAATATAAAACCCACCTTTTAAAGTCAAGTCTGTTTTCGCCTCTAAGCAAAATACGCAGATCTCTTGGTGAGTGGAAAACAGGAAAGACTAATTAAGAAATCTTTTAAAAATCCAAAGCTGGAGATAATTTAAGGTACTGCGGTAGGAGGTCATGCATCCATGGAGAATAAAGTCCCAGTCTATGTAACAAAGGAGTAATGTGATCAAAATTAGGGGTCTAACTTGTTGGAAATGTGAACAAGAAGGGACATTTTATCATGTTGGGTGGATGCGTAAAAAAGCTAGAAAATTCTGGATTCAAATGCATACACTGATTCAGGATTTTAAAGATTAATATACAATTGAAACCTGAGGTGTTTCTTTTGGGATTAATGGATAAACAGTTGGAAAAAAGTCATGGAACTTTGTTTTTGTACATGATAACTGCAGCGAGATTATATTTTGTGCCCAAAGATGGAAAGATTCACTACTACCCACAATGGAGGAAGTTCTTCCATGAAGATGATGGAACTTGCTGAGATGGCTAAATTGGCTTCTTTGATCAGAGAAAAGACAATATCTGCGTTTATTGCTGACTGGAAACTACTTATAGACTTTTTGCGTGAAACAGAAAAAAATGATTTGGTTTTGATGATTAGACAGGATAGATTATAGAAAGAAGAGAGTTATGTTGTAAACATAGAGTAAGAGGTAAATTTATAACTGTACTTATAACTGCTGTAAAGATCGGAAGCTACTTCTTTGTATCTTTTTTCTTTCTTTTCTATTTTTCTTTTTCTTTTTTTCCCTTTCTTGCACTTGTAGCTTTCCCTTTGATTTCTTTCTTTTTCTTTTCTTTTTCTTACTTTATATTAGTTTTTATCTTCCTTTTTAAAATCTTTAATAAAATTATATTGAAAGTTAGGGGTCTAACTTGCAAGCCTGTGAACCGGTCATAGCATAAGGCCTACGTGCCTGTCCCTTCATCATTGTTATGTTTTTGCCTTTTATTGATTTGAAGCAAAAACTATTCTAGGTGCTGAGGGGGCTCCATATAGTTCTTGGCATTTACATAATGCTGAATGGTGTACAAAGTATTTGTTTGTTTATTATTTTATTGTCTTTGATGCTGCCCAACTCCAGATGCTTATGAGCAATTCACAATATATCAGACAATATAAAAACAATATAATAAGAAGCAACAAACAACAAAACCAAGCTAGAAGAGAAGAAAAAGAAGAAGGAACAGATGTTGAACCTGGGAGACATCCCCAAACATCCCTCTATATCACATCCAGAGGAGGAGGCTCCAGCCACGCTAGCCCAAGGTCTGGGAGAACAGCCAGGTCTCTATGGCCCTCTGGAACACCAACAGGATGGGAGCCATCCAGATCTCAGGGGGATCCTCATTACATAACAGCAACATAATGATAATAATAGTAGTAATATCTGGTTATCCTCAAAACAATCATGTATAATAGGCCAGTGATAGCATGTTGCCTGTAGGAGACAAAGCAGTCTGGGACTGCAAGTATGTTTTAGCATGATATCAATCTTTACTGTGCATATGGTTTCCATGCAAAAGGTTATTCATTATAAATTTAGATAGTTTTTTTTTCTTTATGAATATATATACATATTTAATGTAGGTAGATGATTGTTCTTTTTCTTTTGCACTTCTCTTTCTCTGCAGAGAAAATGGGCTGGCCTTTCTATTGGGCAAGAAATAGATGGTAAGTGTTTACTGTAAATTAGTTCATTGTTAGGGCTGACTTAATTGAAAGTTGTCCTCTTCCAAAGCCTCTTTCTATTGAAATGAATTCTATTATGGTGCAGTTGTTTTTTTTCTCCTCTTTTTGCTGTTTGGTGTTGTCTACGTGAAATACTATGCTGGGATAGCTACATTGATCTTTAAATGCCTGCTTCATTATTGTTATTTTAATTGTCATCCCTAAAGAAAAGCTTTATGTAGGATATTTAAAAGTTAATGATAATAAACATAAAACAAGAAGACCAAAAGAGATCAGCCAACCAAGTAAATACATCAGAAACAGAGGTGGGGACATATCGGATCTTGCCTAATTAAATAAGCAAATGATAAAGGAGCAAATAAAGTATCCAGTTGGCTGAGGTTAGGAAAGAATTGGTGAAAAACTAAACAATTGTGCCATGAAAGAGATATCTTTATGATCCTTGCATATGATCTGCATGCATGCTGCTTGCTTATTCCTACAGAAAAGTATGAAATGTAGTTGTATCCTAGAGAAGTTTCCTTCTCCTCACCCTAGTCTCTCTCAAAAAGTGTATTAGCAATAGGATTCTTGTGTGTATTGTCCAAGGTGCTGAATGTTTTCTCCAGTTTGGGCCTTATGCTTCATAGCTGCAGTTTAATTCTATGGAAAGCAATAAACCTTGTAGGAAGATGTGGATTCCACTGTTTTATCTTACACAGTAAAAACTCATGTTTTTATTGCTCAGCAATATAAGAATAAGAATGAATAAACTCTTTAAGCATCCTAAATTCCTTATTGGTGATTTAGACAAAGCCGTACAGCCATTACCGTATATTAACTGCATACATTGCCTCGTTGCATCTGTTAATTCTAGCATTACCCTCACAGATGTATTCTCTTTTCACTTAAAGGTGTTTGTTTCTCAGTATTTTTACCAGAAAATCTCCCATAGGGAATGTGGAAACATTTTCCTACAAAGCAGATCCTTACAAAACAGGAAGGGCTAATTAGTGATTGCAGTGGCATTATTCCCACCTGCACCTAAATTTGGAGGTGGTTTCTTAAGTCTGAATATGTTAAGTTGATGCATGGAAATACACACCTTTTGTGACAGATTCTAATTTCTGCCACACTCATTTTTATCATTTTCAGTGACTGAAATTCAGGGCACAGCTATGCAAATAGACTTGGTCCTTACTTTTAAAGGCTTTGATAAGTTCTGTGGAATAAAATAAAACTGATTATAATCCAGACAAACAATTGAAGAGACATACTTGTCTTTTGCTCTAGTTATCAAAGTTATTAGAGAAAGAATTCTACCCTCTGTAGTACTCTTTGTATCCCTGACACATTCAGTGGCTAAAACCACATCCTTATACAGTATGGGAAACTAAGTCAACTGCAACTGAGGAAATATGAGGACTTTTTTTTTTTTGGTAATAGTAATTTCTTGATATAAAATAAAATTGCACTACTGGAAGAGCTAGAAAGTTTTTTTATATGCTTTCATAACTGACCAGGATTCATAAATTTTGATTATTTATGTGATGAATGCTTCTTGATTCAATGTGGTAGCTATAATAAATAGGCAAGATGTGCACACAGAATACCAAGAATTATCCTCAGGATAAAGAATCTGAAGGTCAGAGATAAAGATGGAGGCTAGATTACAAACAGCAGAAACACAATTGACAGAGAAGTTATTTAAAGTTCAGAGGAATTCCAGAATATTTTGAAAGACATGATTTAGAAAGAGAAATGGAACATCTACTTAAAGAATATCTTTATTTAGATGATGATGATGATAATTTAAACTTGTATGCACCTCGCTCTCAACAACTCAGAATGAAGATGAATCATTATAAATTTGAGAACTCTATAGAATAAACTTATGGACACATAGAAGAAACTTACCACGTGTATACTCATAAAGGCAGAAGATACAATGCTGCCTTTAAAAAGGTGTGGCATTCTTTAAAGCTTGGACATATAATAAGAGATTTTATCAGATGTCACTCTGGATATATTTAGAAAGTGAAGAGATGTGACTTTTTTGACGTCTCCAAGAAAGATAGATCAAATACAGGTAGGCTTCTCTATTTCATCTGAAGGTTTTTACAAATGGCAGCAATAATAGAATAAAATGCTTGAGTCATTAACAGCAACAAAACAAGCCAAAAAAGATCCAGAACTGAAGATCAAATACTGGATCAAGCAGCAGCTTTTCTTTCATAAATTAAATTGATAACTGACATCATGGATCAAATCAAAATATTCTCAACAAATATTAATGAACTAAAAAGCCAAATTAAAAGGAAAAAGATATTTTGGGAATTAAAGGAAATTACAGATATATGTCTAACAGAGGTGTATATTAAAAAAGACAATGCTAATTTGCTAGAATGTAAACAGATCAAAAATTTGTGGCCCCTGGTGCACAAAAAAAATGCATTAAATCAGAAACTTATCATGGAATTTGGAAAACAGATAAATGATGAAACAGGGAGATCACACTGAACAACAGAAAATTACAATTGCTTCAATTTACACTCCAAACAATAATGAAGCAAAATCTTATGAAAAAAAATCCAATTATGAAATTACAGTGACATGTTGATTCTTGGAGATATGAATAACTTTTCTCTTAAAATATTTATATATCTGGTTCATATAAAAGGAATTCTGGTAAACCTTCAAAAAGTGTTCTAGATTATATGTCTTTGCATTCTCTCTTGACACATGGAGACCTAAATATCCTTTAGAGAAAGAATCCATCTATTCTTTTGTTCACAAAACATACTCAAAAATAGATATTTGTTGGACTTAATGGCAAGCAACTTTTGTCTTTTTTATTGATAAAGATTTATAAAGATATCAAAATTTATTGAAGAATAACTACTTACAGACTTGGAAAAGGGAACTTAAGATGGAAAAAGTTAAACTTGTCCTGGTTAGAAAGAATATCAACAATGAAAATGAATATTTTACCAAGGATCAACATTTTATTTCAAATTATACCAATAAGAGTTGAAGAAATGGATTAAATGACAAATAACTCACTTTATTTTGTCAAGCAAAAGATTGAGGATTAAATTTAGAATTATGCAAGATGTGAAAGATGGGTTGGCTCTATCAAATCTTAAACTTTATTATCAAGCCAGTTGTTTAACCTGGATTATACTTTGGATCATATTGCCATAGAGGAGGGTTGCATAAATATATTTGGTTGCATGCAGACAGAGGTGTCTACTTTATAAGAGATTACTCAATCATAAATAGTGAACTAAAAGTATGTAATAAATATACATGATTCCGTCTGGACTTACCATTCCTTGCTTCGATATTAAATATTTTCATGAAGGTGAATGTACAAAAAAAATAATCAGTGGAGGGATAATAATTCATATGAATTGCAAGGTTTGATAAAGATTAAATCTTTTGAGATTCTCTCCTTGGAATGGTCAGAGATGCTTTATTGGTTCAGTATTTTAAAGTAACTGGAATAGCTCAAAAGGTATCCCAAAAATAAGTTGGAACACTTAGATATTTGACTGAATTTAAAAAAATGTATAACACAATTTGTAGGGGCTTATTTATAAGTTGTAATTATAATTCAGAAATGGAATAAGTCCAAGATTGCATGATTAAATAGATGCAGAAATTAAACAGGAGAATTGATATACCATAATGGGAATACCAATGGAAGAGAAATAACAAATTTATTGTGAATATTACATTCAGAGAAAACTGGTATAGATATTTTAAAATTGGTATATTACTCCAGTGTTGATTGCCAAAATAGGTAACACATACTCAAAAAATTGCTAGAAGTGCAATAAAAAGGATAATTTTTTCACACTTGGTGGCAATATGATAACGTTCAACAGTTCTGGAAGATGATTCACTATAGAATGAAACTAATCTTAAATATAAATTCTTCTTTCTTATCAGCTGTTTTTCTGCTAAGCATTACTAAGACTTATTTTCCTACAAAGTATGTACAGAGTTGGTTCTGTATATGATAACAGCTGCCAACAATGTTCATGTGTGTGTGGGGGGAAAGTTTTGTGTAGCTTTTCCAAACCAAATACAAATGTGTGTGCCACAATACAGGTTTACAAATAAATTGCAAATACAAATATGACAGCAATCATAATTTTATTTCTGCTTAATTTCACATTATTTATTTACTTACTAAGTTTATATGGCTGCTTACTTTAAATGCAGTAATCCTAGATGGATCACAATAAAGCCAGTAAAACAACAATAAAACAATCATATCACCCATACACAAAGCACCACAATTCCCTCCCATTGTGCTTCAACTGATAATTCTAATCAAAATTTTGTAAGCATTTAAAATTGTTTCTTTTTGCTCGGGGAGAGGATTTGATATTGTACTGAAAGAGAAGGGGAAGGGGAAGGGGAGGGAGGGAGGGAGGGAGGAAGGAAGGAAGGAAGGAAGGAAGGAAGG